TAATATATATATATATATATATATATATATATATATCCAGCTTTCATACAATTGTTGGCTTTGAATCAATAAGATTAGGGGTTCAGATTCGTGCCAGACCTCTCTCTTGTGTGTTAAAATAGAAAGAGGAAAAATTATACGGAAAGCACCCGATTATATAGAGGGTTGCAGCTTGAGGATCAAGAAAGAATTTTTTATTTTGGATACTTTCCTCCTAAATCTCATGTTTTTGGAATCTTATGTCATTCAGAGGCAAGAGAGATTCAATATTTGGAAAGTACATACCTGATGGATTAGATAATCCCATGATTTATGGATTAAAGGATTGGATTTCGAAAGTACGCAACAGAGAGTAAGCATGCATGCCCTGATCATTGTCGACCATTCTTTTTTTTCAAATATTTCGTAAAGGAAAAAATTTGGGAAAATTACAAACATATCCGCTATAGTTTGCGTGGTTATTATCTAACTGTCCGTTTTTTTTCATATAAAATTTTTTTAAAGAGACAATTTTACTTTTTTTTCAAAAGAGACAATTTTACTTTTTTTTCAATAGATTTTCAGTGGTTCAACAACCGAAATCTGACTATTGGGTTTCTGAAAAACCTAAAATTCAAAATTTTCAGTTGAATCCAAAATTTAAATTTTTTTGGTTCTTGAATTTTTCTTCTATCGATTTTCCCTTTTTCAGTTGTTGAACAATTGGATTAAATCGATTTTCCCTCCTATGTATATCCATTATCTCTCTATACCTTAGATTTTAAACTCTTCTCTACCCTTTAAACTCTCCCCTACATTTATCCATTCTCTTTATGGATTCTCTCTCTATACTTTAGATTTTAATTTCTTCTCTACCCTTTAAACTCTCCCCTACATTTATCCATTCTCTATATGGATTCTCTCTATATACTTTAGATTGAGTGAGTTTAAACTCTTTTTAAGTTTATCCATTCTCTCTCTTATGTTTATCCATTCTCTCAATACCTTAGGGTTTAAACTCTTACTTATGTTTATCCATTCTCTCTCTATAATACTTTATCCATTCTCTCTCTATAATGACTAATCTACGTGGATGGATTCTCTCTATACCTTAGATTGGGTGGGTTTAAACTCTTCCTAAGTTTATCCATTCTCTCTCTTATGTTTATCCATTCTCTCTATACCTTATGTTTATCCATTCTCTCTATACCTTAATCTACGTGGATGGATTCTCTCTCTACCTTTTAAATTGAATGGGTTTAAACTCTTCTTAAGTTTATCCATTTTCTCTTATGTTTATCCATTCTCTCTATACCTTAGGGTCTAGAAGGACTAATGTACGTGGATGGATTCTCTGGGTTTAAACTCTTCTTAAGTTTATCCATTCTCTCTTATGTTTATTCATTCTCTCTATACCTTTAGGTTTAAACTTGTCCTTATGTTTATCCATTCTGTCCTTATGTTTATCCATTCTCTCTCTCCAATGACTAATCTAAGTTAAGAGTTATAAGGGAAAAGACGATAGAGGATTTAGGTGGTTGAACAACGAAAATCCATTGAATTCCCTTGAAAAGGGGAAAAGACGATAGAGGATTTCGGTGGTTGAACAACGAAAATCCATTGAATTCGGTTGTTGGAAAAGGGAAAATTTATAGAGAGAAAATACATTCGGTTGTTAGAAAAGGGAAAATCTATAGAGAGAATACGCAACGAAGAAAATTTTATGTTCTTCAACGACTGAAAATTTTGAATCTTTGGTTTTTCAAAAACCGAAATTCAACGACTGAAAATTTTGAATCTTTGGTTTTTCAAAAACCGAAATTGGCCTAATTGCGATGGTTAAACCATTGAAAATTCATTTAATTTGGTTGTTCAACCACCAGTAAAATTGTCCTTTTTTTTTAATTTTCGTTATGCCATGAAAAAAATGAACATGGCAGATGGGTGAAAACAGAAATTATTCGGTAGTTTTGTAATAATGCAAACTATAACGGATATCTACGTAATTTTTTAAAAACAATTATATAAGGTTGCAATTTTAAAATGTAGAATCCATTATAAGATGTTGTTTTGATGTTGGAAACCCTCTAATTAATCATGTCAACATCAAGATGTATATATATAAAAAGAAAAAAAAAAATATTTCGAGACTATATTGCAGCACATTATCTAGACCGTCTATTTTTAAGATTTCCACGTGTTCATGGATCTAGTTGATTTGAATTATTTTTAGAGTTTAAAATTTTATAATTAGAGATGGAAATAGATTATCAAGTCATCCTAAGATTTCTACACTAAAATTACATTTACGAGAAATTTAGACCTACTTGATTTGAATTATTTTTAAAGTTTAAAATTTTATAATTAGAGATGAAAATAGATTATCAAGTCATCCTAAGAATTTCTACACTAAAATTATATTTATGAGAAAATTTAGAGGTGTGCCTTAATTGGATAATTTAAGGTTGCAACCTTATACAAACCATACCCTCTTTATATTCCAACAACTCCCCAATCTTGATTGGTCATCAAAATCTACATCTAGTGGTAATGTTTTCATCAAATTTCACATCGTATATTTTAAATTTCACACCGTATATTTTAGAAAAAATTATAGATAATTTTTTAGGCTATGTTTCAAAAAAGCCACGTGCTCTTCTCGTCGTTTTGTATGGAGTTGTGGAGGACAGCTTGCGGCGTATGGAAGAAGTGGAAGTGGATGAGAGAGAAAGCTAGAGAGAGAAAGAGATGTATGTGGTTTGAGAAGGCCTCCAAGAGGTCTGGATGTAAGTAGTCATTTGAGAGATGATCGATAGTTCTTGCTCGATGCCGATGCTTGACAAAGAAAGAAAACGCAGGGCTACGGCTCTTGCCCCTAGAGAGAGAGTAAAGATCAAAGAGAGAAAATACGGTGAGTTGATGAGGTAAAGCCAACGACAGAGGCAGGG